AAACAGCTAGCTTAAAGCAGCCAAACAGCTAGCTTAAAGCAGCCAAAGAGCTAACAAAATACAGAAAAAATAGCTTAAAGCAGCAGAATAGCAACTAAAAGCAGCAAATGCTTGCAAAAAAGGAGCTACAACAGCTAAAAGCTAGCTCTAAAAAGTGCCTCTGACCCAGTCCGTCGACGGATAAGCGGAGCCGACTCCTTCGGTCGGTTCTGGAGGAAACTAAACGGGACGAAGCAGAACGCAGCCTGGTGGAGGTCAAACCATTACGTCTGTTCAGAGTTCTGCAGGACGAGACGAACAGACCTGACCCACAGAGCCGCAAAGATCAGAGACGTTTGTCCAGAACATCAGGAGTGGAGACGCAAGAACAAAAAGACGTGCGCAGAAAAGTTGCACGAACCAACCAGACACTGGGAGCTCCTTCAAAATAAGAGTCGATTAAATGTTTTTTGTTTTTTAGACAAAACCTGACTCAAAGTGTTTCCTTCAGGGCACAGAGGGCACAAGTCTGACACGTTTCACCAACGAAGCTCCACCTTCAGCGCAGTGGAGAAAACAGAAGAAGTCCAAAAACTGACAGGAAGTCCATGGTGGATCGTTCTCTCCTGACAGACGAGCGTCGACGTGCGGCGCTGAAACCGAGCGCCAGCAGAACTGGACAGAAAACCTGCACGCAGATTCTCCAAGTCATCATGAAAAGCAGCACGTCAACTCCTCGTGAACGATCCGTTCGAACGAGGACAGGGTCCAGGCAGGACAGGCGCGTCCTCGCTGTTGGAAGCTGCGGCTCGTTAAAACGAGCCAAACTCCATTTAGAAATCTGTTAATTTAAAGGCCGCTTCAAAACACAAGAAGAAGTAGACGTTTGTTTATATTTTGCTTCTAAAAGGAGTCGGAACCATTTCCACGTGACCTGAAACCAACTCTTTCATGGGTTCATCGAGATATTTCAAAATATTTCTGTGAACATTTATTTTTGTTGGTCTAAACTTTTAGTCCCAAACAGCCAAACACTTGAAATCTTTCATCCGAGCGTCCACAAACTGGACAAGAAAGAGGAACGGATAAACATCTGTTGAGAAACAAAGTTAGAGCCGTTTATGTCCAATATTAGTAAAAACATTAAATGCTACGCCGTCATGCTACATGTAGCCCTCAAAGTACATGCTGGGGATCAGTCTCAGCTACTACCACATTAAATTAGAGCTCAGTATTAGGGGTCGACTAGTCGATTGTAGGACATCTCGTGACTTTTTAACTTTCACGTCGACTCGTCAGTGATTGTGTCACGTGTCATGTGATCAGCTGGGCCGCCGGCTACAAACAGATGGAAGATTTAAAAAAAAACGTTCAATAGAAAAACTGGACTATTGTATTGAACGTTGTTTTTAGTTTATCGTGTCCTGGAAGACTGAACATCTTCACCAGCGAGCAGATGGACGGTGAGGAGCAGGACGTCTCCCCAAACAGGTAGAAATTCATCAACAGTGTGGAAGTATTTCACTGACGACGTTTTTAAATTTATTTTATTTAATTCACGGTGGGATCTCCGCCTGCCTCCTGTTTTTAGTTATATTTTATTTAATCCACTAAATAAAATAAAAAACCCCGGTGGAGAATCCACCACCGCCGCAATGGTTCCTTTTATTTAGTGGATTAAATAAAATAAAACTAACTTTTTGAAGCTTAATAATAGTTTTGGTTTTCCTGTGACTCATTTGCAGTATGATAAATGGTAGGAGCATAAATATACACGCAATGCTTTGTTCTTTTTCTTGTAAATAATAAGACTTTTATTTTAGTTTCTATGACATCATCGACTATTATCATGTTAATTTTGACTTTTAAAAATATGTAGTCGTTCAAGCCCCAGTATCTATAAAACCAGCCTCTGATCTGTTGTTAGCTTGACTGGATTTGGTAGCCATCTTGAATTAGGTTGATGTCGACAATTACTTCCTGAATTAATTAAAATTAATTAAATCTACTCCAGTAGGTAATGAGATATTTTGCTAATAGACAAGACTAAAATATTAGTGTCAATTCTTCACGTTTGAGTTTCTTAATCGTGTGAACCCTTAATCACAGTTCAACAGCTAAAAATAAATTTTATAGATTCAACAAAAAATGGGAACCCGCTGTGTTTTTGCAACAGGTTGGAAGAATAAAACTGTCGAATGATTTAAAGATTAAAGACTTGAACTTTAAAAAATAAAAAAAACATGCTGGATTCAGTAAAAAGGAACAAATGCTTCTAAAGACAAGTGTCTTTAATAAAATGAGAAAACCTGCTCATCAAATTAAAAAGTTGTAATCTATAAACTTCAGACCGCCTGTTTACTAAAACATCAACATATCTGATGCACGCACTTTCACTCTCGTTTGCAAAATAAGCAGATTAAACAGGTTTGTTTACGTCAAGTGCATACCTGCATTTCAGAATTACAAAACAACATACCTGGAACACTACTGAAGTAAACTCTTCTAAAACTGTACCATCTAAAATAGTTCGGAGAAAACTTTTTTTATTATTATTTTAAATTCATATTTTGCCTTTAAGTCCACTTCAAAAGGTTTTACTCTGGCGTGGTTTAAAACTTTTGCACAGTACTGTGTTAAACATGTGAGCAACTTTCACCAGATGGCTGGGTTTGTGAAAATATGTTAAAAATAATAAAATAATAATAATAAAAAAAGGGGAAAATTCGCGCACAACCGCTTTAACCAAACTCCAAAGGAAAACTGTGGATTTTAAACGCATCCAGTCGTCGCGGCTCACTCGGAGGTCGTTCCTGTAAATTTTTAACTTTATTTAAATATTTTATTCTTGTTTTTCAATTCGGCGTCGGTCCAATCAGCACCCCGGTCAGAACTGGCCTAAGAAAGTGGGTTGATGCTGGTCCGGACCGCGCTCTGACTCACCTATGGAGACCAGCTTGATGTTCTCCCGGTCCAGGAACTCCAGCGCCACCGACACGTTCTCCAGCTTCATCTGCCTGAAGTTGGGCCTGTTGTGGTACTTTCTGAACATCTTCTTCTGGCTCAGGACCTCCAGCAGGGCGATGAGGCGCAGGCCGTCGCCCAGGTCCAGCTGCAGGTCCACGATCCGCTTGTTGACGCACTTCAGGTGCTCGTTGATCCAGCGCGTGAACGTGTTCTGCTGGATCTTCTTCCACGGAGCGTCCTCCGCCAGATCCTTCTCTGTGACCGGCATCTTGTCCAGCTCGGCCCGGTGGGTCTTCGGTACCGCTTCTTGTTCGGTGAGGCTCGAACGGGACGAAGGTTGTGCCGCTGACGGAGCGTCGTCTTCCCGCGGAGTTCCTCGGAGCTGGCGGCAGCTTGGATTGAACTTTTCCTCAAACTCACGAGGCTAAAAACGCTGCTGATGCGTTCAGGGACTGCTCGGACTTTTCTTCTCTTGACGAACCGAACGAACGTCACAGCAAAGTTTTACCGCCCCCAACCGATGTTTATAGAGTTTTACGGACTTTCAGTTAATTTTTTGTTGTTTTTACATTTAGATAATAGTGAACCGGTTGCTCGTTCCTGCCAACAAAAACTCGGGAATTTTCAAAAACTGAAACGAACAAAAGAAAGCCCGAAAATCGTTTTTACGCAAACACATCAGCGACAAGGCTCAAATTACATGCGAGTTCAACTAAATGAAAACATTTAATTAAAGGATATTTGTATAATTTGGGACTTTTTTGCACATTTTTTTTACGTCTCGTACCAGGTTTATTTATCAAACACCATAAAACATTTCTGAAAGTCTTAAAACATGTTAAAACAATAAAAGTAAAAAAAATATTTCTCCCTGCACAAGTTTTAAAACACTTTTTAAGTTATTTGTACCAAAATAAAAAAAAAATGCATCTATTTAAAGATGTGTGACATCAAACTTGTATTTGTTTTAGAAAACGACCTAAATCACCTTGTATAAGCAAAATTCAATTACTTTTTTTTTCCCATTTATTTATTGTTAATAGGACAAAAAGCTGCACAGGGCAAAATGAATGTACACAAAATAATATTTTTGACTCGTGCTGGCAAAATGATTCTAAATAAATGCAGGCTGCAGTGTGAAATAAATGAAAATATTGATTTATGATTTGTCAAAATGAGTCCATTAAGACGCCATCCAGCCTCACCTGCAAATCTTCTTAATCTGCCTTTAAATCAAAGTCTTCTAACAGGTATGTCTTACAAGTTCCTTTGAAACAGACCGTTTTGACACCGTAAATCCCTTCGTATAAAGTCTGAGGTCAATGTGAAGCTTGAGCAGAGGCCACATTTGTTTACAGAGAAGAAATAAAATACTTTTACATCAAAATAAACTGAACGCTGTAAAATCTTTATCACCATGAGCTCCACAAGGACGACCCGAACTCAGCATATATCTGCTGCATCAGTCAGTCTGATCAATAAAGTCTAATCTGATCAGCATCACTCCTGACGAGACCAGGGGAGGTCAAAGGTCAACTGTACTGACTGGAACAAAAGTGATTTTTCAGATCACAAAGGTTTAAAGAAAGAAAAACATTAAGACAAAAAACATGAAGAAAGAGAATTTTATGGATCATGAATAAAGATTTAGTGGTTTAACGTGAAAAAAAAAACTTATTTAGTGAGCAGTCAATATTTTAAATACCTGATGTAAAAAAAAAAAAAAGAGACATCCTCAAAACGAAGTAAATTATGATAAAACCTCAGTATCTGGTTGAGAATTCACTTTTTATCGCGTAGATTTAAACAGAAACAAAAACTACACTTTCTTGTTAATTTTCTTTACAAACTGAATCAAGTTGATCTCAGATTATATATTTTTTATTTTTACAGTATTTCTGATCCAAATCTATCCAGATTTTTTTCCCCCTCAGCTTCACCGACTGAATAAATCTCGTCAGCTCTCGTTTTAAATCCTTCGACGTGTTTCGACCGTCTCGTAGAGATGAGATCATCCCGAGGCCCGATGATTGATGGGAGTTTGTCGTGCCGAGACGTTCAGCTCATGTCAAGGGACAGACACACCCCAACGGGTCTGGACCTGCGTTTGAAGATGACATCATCCCTCAGTCATCACTTCTGTGCATGATGACCTCATGTGCACCCAGTGATTCACGTTGTTTCCATAAAACACGTTTCTGTGGTAAAACGATGATTTGAAGAGTAGATGAAAATACCAGAACAGCTTCTGTGCTTCGTGGTCACACAGAGGTCGTGGGTCTTCTTCAGGCCCAGCTGATCACAGTTCAGCAGATTTCTCTGCTGTTTTGCACCTTTTTTATTCTTCTCACAGGTTCTTCAGAGGCTGATCCGGTCCAGCTTCAGGAGGTACGCTGGTCCACCATCGTTCACTCAGGTGTCCACAGGGTTCTCAAAGTGTTCTCAGGGTTCTTTTCGTTTGAGGTCGTTTCCATCCTGGTCCGTCTACGTTTCTAAACCCTCACCTGTGGTCGTGAGGTTTGGACCAGGACTGAAAGAACCAGATCCTGGATCCAAGCGGCTGAAATCAACTTCCTTCACCGGGCTCAGCCTTAAAGAGGGCGAGGAGCTCTGTCGAAGCTCGGAGTCGAGCCGCTGCTCCTCCACAGAGAAAGGAGTCAGCTGAGGCAGTGCACACCTCCGATTGGAGGGTTCAAGTCCCACTGCTCAACGGCTCCGGTGCAGAACTCTCTGGAGGGATTATATGTCCTCTGTGGTCCCCCAGGAGGAGCTGGAGTCTCTGCAAGGAAGGTCTGCCTGGGTTCCTGTAGCCTCCTCAACCCGACCACAGATAAGATGATGGAGACGGAAAAGACCGGATTAATGTGAGCGTTTTAGATTTACCGTTTGTTTTTTGGCAGAAGCTGCAGAATAAAAACAAAACGAGAACTTTCAGTGAATCGATGAAATAACTTGTGATAAAAAAAAATTTCATAAAGCAGCTTCAGAAAAACTGGCTCAATCATTTTTTTAATAAATCTAATTTATTAGAGGTTTTAGTTCTACATTTACAAACTTTGAACAAAGTTCAGACAGGTCCTCTGGACGGTTCTTTGCCGAGACGTTTCATCCTTCATCCAAAGGACTTCATCAGCCCGAGGAGCCACCTACAGAGTCCCACAAGCAGCGCGCTCACATAGTGGAAAAAAAAAAAAACAAGACTAATAGGAGTGTAGTACTTGTGGGACTCTAGTGGCTCCTCGGGCTGATGAAGTCCTTTGGATGAAGCGTCTCAGCAAAAAACCATCCAGAGGACCTGACTGAACTTTGATATATCCTCGGAATATTTTTAAATACGAGCTCACCGACAGAGAATTATATTTATTAAATCCCTCTCGTTATACAAATAAACTGAATTGTTCCTCTTCACATTCCTGCTTCCTCTTAATTAAACGTGGAACTACAAATGTAAATTTCACGATTAAATATTTCACAAGTGTTACAAATATCAGTACACACTGCTGAGATCTTGATCTGCAAACATCGCAGCTTAAATCTAACCGAAGCACTTTTTAATCTGAAAAACTCACAAATGTTGTTTTCAAACCGTTTTTATGTGGAAACGTTTTCCACGTTAAGTTTGAAACTCCGAACAGAAACTTTAACTCGATACAAACAAATAAACCTTTTATCGGACGACCTGCTCTTAAACCGTCGGGCTCCTGCAGCAAATAAAAGCTGCTGATTCAAACGGAGTTCTGTGCACCGGCAGCAGAACAACCGTCCGGTCTCGGACCTCCTGAGAACCAAAGCAGCAGCTTCATCATGATCTGGGGACAGAAAGGTCGGCGATAAAAGAGTCGGGGGGCCGGGGTGGTGGGTCAGCTTGCTACAACTTTAATCCCAACGTTGCCTCCTCAATACATCAGATTCTCTCTAAACATTTTAACAAAATAAAAGTCTAGTTGCACATCATTCAAATACATTTTATTTTACAATTCTATCTTTAGTGTTTCTCTCTCTTTAAACATCAGGAATATTTGTTCGCTGTCATTTATTATTTTATTTTTCAACACGGAGACGAGACAGAGTACACAGACGATGACAGAGTCCCAACGTGTGAAGCTTCACCGCTCGACTCGCAGGGATTTAAAAACCGCCTCAGAGGCCTGACTTGCTCGAGTTCATCGCCTTTCTTATTCTTCCGACGCGAGGATGCAAAGCTCAGACTCAAAACGGGAGTGAAGGAGTAAAAAGGACCAAAAAACGTGAATGGAAGACTCAGTCTGATGAAAACATCGAGGTGAGATCGTCAGATTTAATTTTAACCGTCGAGCTTTGAGACGAAAAAGATTTGAATTTATTACAATTTTACTCAGAAGCTTCACTTCGACGTAAATCAGCCCAAAGGAAATAGTTTTGTTGCTTCTTAAGTTTAAAGTGATGTATTAAATCCAATTTCAGCACAAACTAAAACGTTAATAACGGCTCAAACTACAGATTAAATTTTTTTTTGTATAAACAATGACGTCATAGTTCAATTCGTGTGAATTAAATTTGAATCAGTCATTGAGCTTGTTCAATCTGCAGCTGTTCAGGGACAACGGCTGACGTCTTCACATGAAAGTCACATTTTTAATCTTTTAAACCCAAAATGTTTGTTATCGATTAATAATCAAGGATGAAATATATATATTTTTTAATAAATAAGCTTTTTGTTTTTAAAACTAAATTATTTGCAGTTTGTTTAGCAGCTTGAATATCGTCATTTTGAGCACGTTTGGCAAATCTGTAGTTTATCATAATGAAAACTGGTTTTCCTCCAGTTGACGAGAATCGTTTCAGCAGCTCTGAATCAATCACTCTGAACATCGACAGGCCTCTGTGTGTGTGTGTGTTCACACACCACGTGCGGTGTTGGTTGGTGACATCAGAGGCACTTACATCCCCCTTTCTGTGCCCCAAAATCTGAAGAGTAAAAAAAAAATTATTTCAACAATTTGGCTTCAAGTTTCAACCCAGAACTCCCGAAAATCAAACCGAGCGTCGTGTCCGACGTTCGGGTCAGACGTGGAAGCTCTCCAGCAGACTCGGCGCCGCCGCTCGGCTTCGTTGGGGCTCCCGCAGCGTCACGTTCGAATCGGTCCGGTTCTGAAAACTGAAACTGCTTCACAAAAACTCCACATTTACACAAAAAGGAAAAAATATTGAAGCTATTCCCAAAAAATTAAATTTTCCAAATCAAACAGGAAGTTAGACAAAAGTGCTTTAAAGATACTCACAGCAAAGACATGACCGCTCAAAAAATAAAAATTAATTGGATTTATCATCTATGGAGGGTTGATGTGTCCTCGGATTAAAACGTGACCAGTTGCCAAAAACCACGAGCGTTTGTTTACCTCCAGAATCAGCCGAAGGGACTGAAAACAGCCGACATCCACGGAAATGTTCGGGTGCTGATCGTATTTAAGCTCAGACTTGTTGAGCACAGCGTGAAGAACAATTAAACCACGACAGCTGAAGATCACCAGGTTTTCAAATAAAACCAGAGTCTGGTTTTACTGGTTCCGAGTTCAGACTCAGAAAGAAACCTCGGCGGTCTAGAAGCGTCGCGTGAACGCTGTTCGTCGTCTCTTTTCAGTTTGCAGCAGATCCTGATTTATTTTTCTGGTTTTCAGCGTCTCCGGATGTTCTCTGCTCGTCCACCATGTCGTCAGTCAGTAGCTCGAGCTTCGTGCGGCTTTTGGCAGATTCACTCTTTGTTTACATCAAGTGCGTTCCCGCGCTTCACAATCTACGGGTCAGCATCATGTTGAAACCGTTTTCTTTAAACGGCAGATTTATACATTTCAGTTTAAACTTTTCATGTTGCGTCTTGCAATGAGTACCTTTAAGACTTGTTGGGCCTCTGCCTTCATGAGCAGGTGAGTAGAACAAACGTGTCTTTTAGAGCCGAGTGTGAAAAGTGACAAATGATGAGTCGCGCGTCTCCGACGGCGCCGAGCCTGCTGGAAAGCATCGGACCGCTCCATCCGAGCGTCACGTCGCCTTTTTCTTTTTAGCCAAACACTAAACCCATAAACCGCCCCCACCACATCTCAGAGCCCAGAGAATAAAAATGACAACGAAACCCTTCCTCAGAAAACAAAAATAAACCAGGAAGTATCGAGTCCTCTGTAGAAACCACAACCTTTTATATTCCCTCTACAATTATATACAATTAGACTTTATACAAGCGAAGCGGCGACGCTCCCCTCACGGCTCGCTCGGCGGGGTTCAGGCGGAGCTGCTCTTGGAGAGGTTGGGGTAGAGGATGGCGGCCGTCACGGCGACCATCACTGCGATGACCGGCATCCAGGGGCTCCAGCCGCTCTGCCCGACAAGAAACAAAAAACAGGTTCAGTCGTCTGCGCAGCTGAAGTGGCTCAAGGTTCAAACCAGAGCGCTACAACAAACTGCTTCCTGCCTGACCCTCGTCTGTCCTGCTCCCTACAGGAGAACGAGGAGATGATGAGAAACAAAACATCCAGAAGAACGAGAGAAACATGAACCACACAATGAGATCAGCCCAAAAGATGACACACACACACATACAGGGGGCGTGAGGTGCGTCTATATCTACTTTACAAAGTTCAACATGAGAATCGAGATAAATAAAATAAAAACGTTGCCCAGTCGGATCCAGGAACCAGATGTTTCTGCTGAGGTTCACGCAGATCCGTCCTCACAATGAAAGCCGACAGGCTGAGTTTTGGTTTCATCCTTCTGGGAGAAGATCGGTCTTCTGTCCGGTCCAACTGAAGTTTCTCTGCGTTTCATAAAAATCCGTCCACACCGTCCGGGTTCTGCTCGTTCATCACGGATATGAGGAGCGGATTCGGTTCATCTTCGTGTCAAACTGTTTTCGTGAGTTCAAACACGCAACAGATGTGCTGAAAACACGAGCGAACAAATTCTTTATTCCAGATTTATTCACCTCTGGAGGATAAAATCATTAAAAATAAAAAGCTGAATGGAAGAGAGGCTCGCATGCTTCAAATAAATATGGAAACACTTCATGTAGGAAAAAAAAACATTTTTTGGGACTGCAGTAAAAAACAAAAAAACGTTCCATAAAAAAAATTCTTCAACAGAAACTGAATTAAACTTTTACACATAAACACAACAAACAAACAAACATGACGGACAGGAAGATGGAGGTTTCAAATCTCTCCAAGGAAGCACGTAAAGGGATAGTTCAGATCTTTAAAGTGGGGTTCTGTGTATGAACAATCAGTATCTTACCTGTTGCAGACGGCTCTTTGAACAATCTCAGTTTAGAGAAAAATAGTTTATTTCTGACCATTTTCATAAGCTAAGAGCTAATCAAGACAAACGTGGAACTGCCTTAAAATATCTCAAATGTCAAATATTAACAGCAGAGGCAGCTAGCTGGGGCACTTCCTGTGAGGCCTGGGGACAATTCCTGCAGGAATAACCATGTAAAATAAAACTGATAACAGTAAGTGTTTATAAAGCAGCGTTTTTGATACTGACGTTGTTTTCAGATGACAGATATTCACTTTGGTCTTAGTCGCACTCGGACTAAAGTTAGTTCATCGTTCAGGTTTGAATTAAACTATTTCTCCAAACTGAGCGTTCAGAGAGTTGTCTGCATCAGCTGCAACATTAGACGCTTCATAAATTACATGTTCATAAACTACTTGTTTCAACAAAACAAGCCTGTTTAAGGAGAAAACACAAAACCTGTTAGCAAGAAAATAAAAATAAAGAACAGTTAGGAGCTAAATGCATGCAACAAAAGAACAAACAAACCATGTAGCATCAGATGAAGACAAAAACATGCGTGAAAATAAAAAAAAGAAGCATCAAACCATAAAAGAAGATGGAGCTGATGAACGTCTGAAGCAGGTTAGTAACTCAAGATGATCAGAGATTTAAAGCGACACCAAAGTTTTCCAGTTTCCGTCTTTAATCTAAGTTTTTTTTTTAACTGTTTTTAAAATCCAGATTTGGCTCACGTTAACCTGCCTGACACTTTGAGTCAGCAGAGACGATGCTGCGTGACGCAGTTTGTCCTGCAGTAGAAACACGTCACAGTAAAGTAGTAAATGTTTTTACTTTGTCAAATATCCGTCTGTAAATAACAGCTCATGATTACACGACTGTCCGTATCGACTCTGAAATGTTTCATTTGTGTATAAACTGTTAGTGATAAACACAATGCTAAGTAAATTAGCTTTTCTATGACGTTTTTAATGTTAGTGTAGGGTTTGTGTTTCCTTGGTCTCTGGCTCCATCTTGTGTCATGTTTATGTCTGCGTCCTCCTGATCCTGTGTCTTTGGCATCTGTGATCATTCACAGGTGCCTTCTCTTAGTCTAATTGGTGTTTCAAGTATTTAAGCCTGTGTGTTCGTCTTCCCTGTGTCCTGGCATTGTCTTCTGTTGATGACCTGTTCTGCTCCCTGTGTTTACCCCTAGATTATATCTGTGTTTGCTGCCCTGTCAGACTTTTTGTTTGTTAATAAATTCTTTAAGTATTCCTGAGTTCTCGACTGCCGGCCTGCACCACTGGGTTCACTAGCCCCGTTGTGACAGTTAGGTTAGGATTTGTGCTCATTTTTGTTCAGCAGCTTATGAATAATAAGTTTTTTGTTTCTTTTATTAGACGTTAAAATGCATAAATCAGTTTATTATGGAAGCCATTTAAGTTTCAAGATGTTCAAAATAACTTATCACAGCCTCTTGATGGAATTGTGAAAGGTTTAAAGAGTTCCATCCCAGCTTTAATATAAACTAAATAAAGACAAATGGTTTTTGTCTCTACGGTAAGAAAAATAAACTTTACAACAACAAAAAAAAAGCTCTCGAACAAGAAAACCATATTTCTCACCTTATCCAGCATTATAAATAAAAGTTAATTTATAAAAAATGGCTTTACTTTTCTTTGTCAACGATCTCAAATGTGTAAAACTGAAAAAAAAAAAAAAATCAAAAGTATTTTGTTTGTTTTGTTTTGCTTAAATTAAAGACGCAGTGGTGATGAAGATGAAGCTCAGCCTAAAAAGGGCGATCAGGAGGTGAAGAAAATGTTCGGCTGGTCAACATTCAGGGTCCAGTTCCTCAATAAACAGCTAAAATACTCCCAAAGTTTTTAATCCCGACAGGATTTATGATTTTTTTTGTGGATTTTCATTAGTTCACATCGAAGGCTACATGTCAAGCTCACATCTGTACAGCTGCCGTCTCGTCTGTACGTCCAGATGTTTTCGGTTAAATAAACCAGGCGAGTAACTCTTTGTTTTTGATTGATAACTTTTCTAAACGAGGTTTTTAAAAATCAAATTGTTCAATAAATTACAACATTCAAATGTTCATTTTTGTTCGAATTCAAAGCATCCACTGCAAACGACAGTTTTTACATCCACCACGACAACAAATCTCCTGAGGTCGGATCAAACAGGAAAACAAACGTTGAGGCTGTTCGGACAATTTTTACTCGAGTCAGCTGAATTTCTTGGAACCCTGAATTTGTGCCGTGAGAACGTGGACTTCACCTCCGTCACGGTTCCTTTCAGAGAGGACAGACAGGTGGAAGCAGCAGACAGACAGGTGGAAGCAGCAGACAGACGGATGTCATGTCGGTGTGTACCTTTCTACCACAACTGGCCGAAACACCAGTACAGCAGAGCCAGGACAAGGCCCATGAATATGGCTTGGACAGGCTGCAATATGGATGGCTACAGGGGGGGGGGGGATAAGAAGAAAATAAATCAGCCAGCAAATCAACCAAAAACAAACATGGAGGATGGAGCAGCTACAGCGAGGAGGAGGAGGATAAAGGAGGAAGGTGGTTTCCTACAGGTTTAGTCTGTTTTAAATTTAATCTGCTGCCTCAAACTGTTGAGGCTGAAAGTTTCAAACGCAGCTGAAGACGAGCGCTGGTTTCGTCTACGTTTCTCCAGAGCACCCGTCACGGTTACGACACAACGTTCATCTGCGACGATACTTTCTGTCCGCCGTGAGACGTTACGTCCCGCTTCAGAAACACGAGGACTTCGCCGCGACTCTGAAAACGTCAGGTTCTGTTCGGACGATTTAAATCCTTCAATTATGAACTAAAACAAAAGAGCAGCTAAAAACAACCACGTGACTGAAGGCAAGAAAAAAGCTGAAGGCAGGAAGAGGAGGAAGAAGCTGCTCCGCCTCGGTGATTAATTCATAAAGCTAACAGTTTCTAACAGGTTATTGATCAGATTATTGATCACAAACGTTACAGAGTTAAGAAGGATCGTTTTAAAATTAAAATCTGTGGAGTTTCTGTAACGTTTCATGTGCAGAGCGAGCTGCAACAAACTGCTGGAATTACAGCTAGTTTAGTAAAAAATCGTTGATTATTGATCATGTATCTGTAAGTAGATCCGGTCATTAAGATCAAACTCTTCTCCTGTAGGTAGTGAAGGATCCAGGAGGTGTCCACAGACCAATCCAGGCATTCAGAACCTTCAGAACCGGCAGCGTACAGAAATAAAAACGTTTAGGTTTGAAGCGTGGACTCACAGAGCTGGTCTTGTCCTGCAGCTGCTTCAGGCTGCTCCTGCACTGCTCCAGCTCCTGGTGGATGTTCAGCTTCTCCTGCTCCGTCCTCTCGTAGCGCTGGTGGAGGTCCAGCAGCTGAGACTGAGTGTCTTCATACTGAGGGGGGGACAAACACAATCACTGAAGACTTCGCGTGATGCAAACGGGTCACTTCAGGGCACCAAAACAACAATCTGCACTACACCGAGGACCACTGGTACCACATCTGTGCCACATCTGTGCCACATCTGTGCATGCTTCTGATGCTCTGCAGTAAAGACGTCAGGTTGATCATCACAAACAGAAGAGCAGGGATGAGCGCCTGCGAGCACCTCTTTCTGCAGCGTATGTGTCCGGGCCTGCGCCTGGTCCAGCTGGCTCTTTAATCTGCTAGCATCCTGCAGGTGCTGGTTCTCCAGAGAACCCAGTTTGTCCTGCAGAACCTCCTCCCTCTTCTCCAGAGACTCCAGACTGCTGCTGAGGACCTGACTCTGCTCCCTGGTGCTAAACACAAAAACACCAAGTCCAGTCAAACGAAGACCCTTGGTAACATGAAGCAGCAGGAAATTAACACATTTAACTCGTCCAGGAAGTCAAAAGAATCAGATCTGATTAAAAAAACAACATGAAATACTTTGGCGTTTTGGCACACAGCTGGTTTAACATCAGCTTTAACCAAAACACAATTTATTCTCTGTGAGGAGCAGAGAGCTGCATCTAGGGCAACCCAAGGAGCAGATGGTGAGGGTTAAAGGCCTTGCTCAAGGGCTCAGAGTGGGGCAAATGAGGGTGGAGGCAGGTGTGGGTGCTTCACCTATCCCACCCACATTTTGATGTCATGGGCAGACAGGCCCACCTCCTCAAACCTCTGCGCCACCACGTCCCCATCAGTTAAATGTCACACTATGTTAGCGAAAAGCTCAAGTAGCAAAAGGCTAGCTAAATGCTAAAAGTAAAATCAAGACAAAAATAGAACCGGTAAGCTGAAACAAAGAACCGTGTTTATGAAGACATTTCAATGTACAGTAGTCCCTCAATACTTCGCGGTTCATTCATCGCGGACTTAAAATAAGACAAGACAATACACATATTGGCTGATTGATGGATGAGCCCCAAGATCGGCATGGAATATTCATTTAAAATAAATTATTTTAAAGTATTTAGCACCTGCTGCACCTTTGTGCAGCCCAAACTGCAGGATAAACTTCCTGCTGCAGCTGATCAGCTGTTCTCCGTGCAGAACGTGCGGCGTGGACAAGAGCGCTTGCAGGTGGCTGAGTGCAGCTGAAGCAGGGAGCTGAAACTATGACATTCTGTGTCCTTCAGAGCATTTAGTTTTAGAAACATTGTTT